CGCAAGCACGGGCGGACGGCCGCACGGACGGACAGATGGACGGAAGCATAGAAAAATACATCGATGGACCGATGGACGGATGCAAGCATGAATGGAATCATGGATGAACGGACGCATAGACCGACGGAAGCATCGACAGACGAATGAAGGGAAGCACGGAGAGAGAGACAGACGCATTGACTTACACACATTGGGACAGATGGATGGAAGCACAGAAGCATGGATGGACGCACAGAGGGACAAACAAACGGAAGCACAGACGCACGGATGGACGCATGGAAGGACAGCCGCATGAACAGATACACGAATGGACGGACGGAAGCATGCACAGATGGACAGACGGACGAACGGTTCGCCCCACACATCCTCATTCACGCCGTGGCTATAGGCTGTGATTTTTAAGGGCGAAGCTCCTTAAAGCGGCACCCTGTTCGTCCCTCATCGTAGCACGTAACATGTCTTACGTTTTGACCTGCAAGGTGGTGACGGTGGGAGATTTCTCTTGCGCGTTGTTGAATAATAAAAAATTCGCGGCGTGCGCGTAACTAGAAGCCGAATTCTCCTGTCTCTCATTCCCCATAAGCATCCATTGACATGTACATTGATCACTATCTGACAAGAAAGGGTTGCTACGTTATACTCGCTGGGCGTAACTTCCTTGGTTTTAAAAAGGTTTATCGAGCGTTGGGCCGCTGTGTCACGAATACAGTGAACTAGTATATACCATAAACTCGAGGTGGTTAAAGGTGGAAAGTAGACACGAAGCGCAAGCCGTAAGAAAGTGTGCGTGTGCCACCTCTCGATTAGTCCTTGGAATGTCCACTGGATGGCGTTGCTTCTATATGCGGAATATATGATGAAAAGATGTGAGATTGTAGTACTTGGAGTGTTGACTAGATGGGTGAACGGGCACACAGACAGATGCATGGACGCACGCACAGATGGTTGCACGGACGAATGGACGCATGGACGGACGCACGAACAGATGCACGCACGGACGGGCAGATGGACGCATGGAAGGTCACACAGACGAACGCATGGACGGACGGAAGCAAGAGTGAATGAACGGACGGATGCTTCGCCCCACTCTCCATCATTCACCCCGTGGATATGCTGCCATTTTTTAAACCTTGGTCCTAAAGAGGCATATCGCAATGTGAATACATAAATCTACAAATTTTTCTGAAGGGTATTGCGTTCAGACTCCGTTTAAAATGAGCTAAAAGCGTATTGCACTAAAGGCTATTTATTGGCTCCGGGTGATATCCAAAGTAAAACGTAGGCGCTTTCGGCTACTAAGACAACCGAAAGAGGATATTTTAAGGGCGCAAGCATTACCAGGATGATTTGCTGCAATTGCTCTGCCTAAGGTATAGCTCTCGTCAAGGGTGTTTCGTCTCCAGCAGCAGTGGATTGTACGAGGGCACAAGGCAGGCTAGCAGCGTATAACACGCATGTGATAAAATCATTGCAAGAATGGCGAAACGATTTTTCTGTTCCAGATCTCTAGAAAATGTCTCCCACCGACATGAGTGAACAAATAGCATTTAAAAGCCCAACTGAGGAACAGCGCCGGGAATGCCGCACGAAAAGACGTTGGGCTACGGCCACAACGTTCTCAGTCGACAATCCGAAGTCGGTCAGCGAGTGTGTGTTTCGCGTGAACGCTTCCGCAGTGAATACAGTGGTAGCAGTGAAGTGCGTGCGCGCAAATAAACTTTACTTGGTGGGCGTCCATTCTCTGCGTCGGCCGCGGCCCATGAGGTCGACCGACACTTCTCTGAGCGCCGGATCGGACGCGAATCGGCGGAACTTGCACGTATTGTCTCCCGTTTCAATGGGATAATACTGGGCAAAATATTGGCGCTATGATGACTACCTTGTAATCAAGGGATTCATTTGCCCGCAGCTAAGCGTATATCTTGTATTTTGCGTGCACATACAATATTAGAGACTCCCTCGCTTCACAGTTATGCTAGGTGGCAGTGAACACACGGCTGCATGGAGCAAGCAGACGATCGTGAAGGCGCAAGGTGCCAGTCTTCGCGTTTTCGTTCTTGAGGCCACCAAACTATAGCCAGACTGCTGCTTGAATACACCAGGATTAGTGCTCCGATTTGACGTGAAGTTGGTGTCGATGTCGGTAGGTGCGCAATGAGAAAACTGATTTTATTATCAAAATAAAAATATCTTATCAGCATTTTCTGAGCTTCATACTTGCTCAGAACCGTATCTGAAACAATTTTTGTGCCCGATTTCGCGACACTGCTGTATTCAAGTCTTTTCTCAATAGTCCGCTAAAGACAGCATGAGATTCTGCTGGTATGACAGCATTTGCTGCTCTTAACTCTTCTCGAACGTGTTACAGAGTTAAATAAATCGCTGATAGTTCTGCAGTTGTTGAGGAAAATGTATGCTGTATAGGAAACACCCGTGTGATGTTTATCAAATTGCGAAAGAAAACTACAGTGCCACAGTGACCTTCGCTGCCTATAAAAGAAGGGTCGGCAGATACCGGAATATAACTGTCAAATATTTAAATAGGTGTGAGTGGGCCAATTTAAATAGTGCTGAAATAAGCTGGTCAGACTTCTTGCGTATTAGAGCAATTAAAATGGATGGGAAAGACGCATTTTTTGTGCTCTTTCGGAGTTGCAAAAGAAGTGGATTCTTCGAAACTACTATAGCCACCGTAATAAATAATGTCCAGGTGAGAGATCAGGCGCTATATAAGATGAATAATTAATGCTTCACCGTCAGGTACCTTGCTAACTAGGCAGCATACCTGAAATTACCGCAGCAATAAAAACCAAAATATTCGCCGTATCTGGTACCGAATCCAAACCTTGTTGCGCGTAAAGGTATAATATATATGCGGAGTGCCTGCTCTTTCCAAGAGGTTCAATTGATGGCGTCTTTTCTATCACATGTTTTTTTTCCTTTAATTGTTGATGCCTGATCTGCTATGCTATCTATAGTAAAGGCGAAATATATAAAAAATTGCAAGAAAACACACACAAACACACACAATTGAAGCCAAAATACTACTCAAGAGAATTTATTATGTACTGATAGGCTTATTGTTGAGCTATGATATGTTTTGAGCAGCGCACACAACAACACAACCACGCACTGGCGCAAACGAGGCGCTGTGCTGCAAAGGACGCCTTATTAGACAGTTATAGTTTAGCGTTAGCGTGATAGCGTAGGTTAAGGGAATGGCGTTACCGTCCCGCTAACGTTCGTTGTGGGCAGCGTCTTATAGTTTAGCGGGATAGCGTTTACGTGCCCCAGCTGGGGTGGTGGCGCCATCTATTAGATGATTAATTAATAATTAGTCGAAATAAAAAACGGGAATATTTGCTATGCAACCAGCGCGAAGCACTGTTAGAAGTTTATTTTAGTTATAATAACAGTAAATAAATACGAACCACGCACCAAACGCGAGACATCTACGTTGCCAAATTGTTTCCATCGATCTTGTAGTTGGTCTAGGCGTGTTCGAAAGGGGAAGCTATCTCAAAAGCTACGCAAACTTATCCGTAATACTCGTTCATCGAAGCTAACTGAAGGCAAGCGAAGCCGCCTTGAACAGTCGTTTGCGGCGGATGAGGTGAATCTTTCAACAACTACGCCAAAATCACTTCGAAGCGGGCGTCCGAGAGCACCGCCATGTTTACGTACACTACATACATCTACGCTACCACGGTAATGTGAAATCTGAAAAATACCGCTCGTATGGGAAGCGGTACAGGCGACGTACGTATCTGCGCATGCGCACTTTAATTCCGGTATCACGGTAGACCCGGTAACCCGGTAAACCCGGTATACTATAACTCTCTATTGTCGATAGACCCGCTATGTGTAGGATAACGCAATCATGCGCAGTGTGAACAGTAAATTTGGCCAAGACCACAAAGAGAAAACACACATAAAGAGCACACAAACATATCGCCCAGCAGTGACAAGCTTCTGATAAAAATTGCAAACAGTACGTGATCATATACCAAGGTGTCGGCGCGTTCGTTGCGAGATGATACCAAGGCGCAACTGATAAATTTATCTTTTCATTTGTATATTTTTTTTTCAGGTATTGCTCTCGTTTTTTTTGCTTTTTTTGCACACAACCTCCGTGCCAGGTGGACTGGGCACAAAGTAGAATCTCTACAATGGAAGGCAAAAAGTCCGAAATATTTTGCCGAGAAGGGACGATTGTGTTCTGCTACTCATGTGTTTAGGCACTTGCCCGTCTGATCAATGTATACAATGTTACATATCAAAGATATCTTGCATAACACCTCTTTTGTGAGAGCAATGTAGATATTCCGGCACTTGAATTCGAACGGGTGCATGTGTTTGTTTTCACCATTCACTTTTTGGCACTGCCCTGAAAGCCGCACTGGTGCCGAGAACTCTACGTAAACACCGGATTTATGAACTATTTAAAATAATCATAGGAAGTTGCGAATTAATCACAATAGCAGCCCTAGGACCGGAAGCACTGAAGAAAAAATGAACACGCAACCTTCATGACAAACAAAGAATACATTATTATATGTCATCACAGCGTAGGGGCTTGAAAGTGAGTTGTATCATTAGCGTATTGCTTTCGTAAAAGAAAAGATTTGTTCTGTAAATGCAGCTACATGTTCACAAACTGTGCCAACGAAATAACAGTGGTGCAGTTTGGAGTGCGCTTTCACAGCCTTTGAAATTCTTTCTGCTCGAGACCGTACAGTGTGCTACACAACAAACAGTGCAACAACGCGATGCAATGATGACAGTGATCAACGGTTGAGTTTAGTTGTCAGACTGAGGTGATGCGCTTCAGCTAGCATTTTCCACGCAAATGTTGCATGTCCGAAATATTCTTCCAGGACACTTCGCAGTAACCGAAGTGCCTACCAGGCACACCGCGCGAGCTTTTCATGCATTCGGGAAACACTGCCGCCTCTATTTCGTCCTGCTATTAGAACTAGACAGAAAAACATTCCTCTCACCTCCATAGGAGAGATGAACCTGTTCAGGCTCCACGTAGAGCACGGCGTCGACATAGACGACGCTTATGGCAGCCGCGACCAGCCATATTAATCCAGACATCTGGAACCGCGCAGCGGCGGTCAGCTGCTGACCTGCTCTCTCGCAAGCCACAAGGCAGCGTAGCACTCAAGATGAGCTACCGGCAGCAGATATCGGAACGCTGTTTATCACTGCATGACGGCAGCTTGCTGTTCCGTGTGGGGCGACAAACAGCTGAGCACGTGGGGGGCAGGATGTGATCGCGGTTATCGGGTTCGTCACTCGAGCAACGATAGCATAGTGAGCCGTGCCAGATGAAACCGTATCCATCGCCGCGTTTCCCTTTCTCCATGCCCTATCTCCGCACTCACGGCCCCACTAGAGGGTTCGGCCACGACGCCATCACACTCTAGCATTGACGCACCGTGCGACTCAATGATAATGATATGTGGGGTTTAACGTCCCAAAACCACCATATGATTATGAGAGACGCCGTAGTTGAGGGCTCCGGAAAATTTGACCACCTGGGGTTCTTTAACGTGCACCCAAATCTGAGCACACGGGCCTACAACATTTCCGCCTCCATCGGAAATGCAGCCGCCGCAGCCGGGATACCGTGCGACTCAAGGCGATCTTGCAGTATCCTCCAAGATCGCTCGTCTGAGAGAGGTTAGTTTCGTGCCTCTGAATGCTATAGCTCCCAGACCTGCTGAAAGCATCTGCCGAAGTCAAGGTTCGTGATCTGGAGAGCAAACAACATAAAAATTTCCGGTAGGATACACGCGTTCTAGGAACGTTCAATTTCACGAAAAGCAAAGTGTTACGGTGTAGATCGGCGTAGGTCTGCAATTTGAGGGGTGTGCATATTATGGGCTTAGAATTATAGAAAGATGAGATGGCTTTCTCTTTGTACTGCTCACTTTAGGCATGCTCGCATATTCTTTGGCAAATGTCCAAGAAATATAGGGGAGGGGGGGGTTAATGCATGAAACGCCTTTATTATGTACGATTCAGCACCAGCGAAAAATGCAAAACAAACAAATAGAAAATCTGTAATTAAAACAGCCTTTATTTTTCTTCTTCGCCTTCCCCGTTTCCCATAAACTCTGTTCTTCGTAATACCGGTCCACTACATGTATACAGGGTGTCCCCCGTAACTTTAACCTGAGTTTAAAAATATGCCAGAACACGTAATTACAACGCAACCAATTGCATGGTGCTCACCATTGCTTTATTTACACATATTTTGTGTTCCAAAATATTGTTTTAATAGTTCTATTTAGTTAACTAACTTTTGAAGGCACAAAGATAAATAAAAAAATCAATGAGAAAGTTGTAGATTGTTTTGCTAAACGTCCAAATGGATGGTTTCAAATTTTAAATTTGTTACGTATAAGTGTTTTTCTGCTAATTACAAATGCCCGCGAAATACAAAAAAAAATGCCATGTGACAAACCCGCTCACGCGTCATTGCGAACGATTTTTCTATTGCTCCCTAACGTTTCGCGTTTAAACGACACACTTCCCTCACACCAGTTCATGACAGTGATAAGCAGTCGTAACGGTTATCGTTTTTGGGGCCGATAGCAAAAAGTCTTCATCGTAAATCCATCACCATCGTTGTGGCCCTGTAGAGACAGTAGAATGGGGCAAACGCTATGGTCAATCGTACGTGGAACGTTAGAGAGCACTAAAATCATTGTGCGGACAGGCACACGAGCGGGTTTGTCACGTATTTTTGTATTTCGCAGGCTTTTGCAATTGGCGGGAAAATATTAATACCTGAAAGATATCAGACGTTTTGCAAACCTTCGTTTTTTTCAAATCTTTGTTTCTTGAGAAGTTTGTTAATTAACATATCTTATTAAACAATACTTGAGAACACAAAAATAGTTTGACTAACTCCAGGTAATGGTGAGCAATATGCATTTGGCCGCGTCGTAATTACGTGTTCTGGCTTATTTTTAAATTCTGGCTAAAGTTACGTGGACACCCTGTGTAGACCTATTCATGCCACTCAAACTATTCTATGTTTCTCAAATAGAGGGGGGGTATTATTGCACGAAACACCTTTATTATGTGCAATACAACACCAACAGAAAGAGCAGCAAAATGAAACAGAGAGTCTGTAGATGTAGATGTAGAACCTAACCTTGCGGCTCACACCCACCCTAGGGGATCGGCCAAGAATCAAATAGCTTAACAAAAACAAAGAAAATGGGATGTATATATTATAATACTGGCGAAAAGAAAATAACCAGAGATAGTAATTTTTTCTGAATTATTCTTGGGAAAAAAATATTGCTCATTCAGTAGGAACTGATTTATCTAAATGATTGATATGAAAGAAAATTTTTCTATAGCCTACATGGATTAACTGAGAACCTTTTGATATTGAAGTTATTAAGTAAATATCTTAGAGTGTGCAATGAAATCTCGCACGGCCGCGCACCTTTCCCTGTTGCTGTTTCATAGGGTATATGCGCATAGGATTGTAAATTGGACGTTGTCAAAGCTGAGCCAAGGATTCGTAAAGGTATTTGTAGTGATAACTTTGTTAATGTTGAAAACTTTCTACAAGGAATAAAAAGTGCTCCACAGTTTCCTCTTCTCCACAGAAAAAAAAACTAAGCGGGGAGACAGTCAAGCCTAACCTAAACAAATAAAAATTTAATGGATGAATACGACAGCGTAATCGAGTGATTAAAACCTCCAGGCATTGGTTACGACATGAGGAAGTCTTCCAGGGTGTCAATAAATGGTGAAATCCACAGCATTTTTTAAAGAAGTTGTTGAGAATTCTCGCATCATCGTTTGCCTCCAAAATCTAGAAGCTACTATGAAGGCTGTGGTAGGGGTAAAATTAATAGCTGGTCTGTCAAACGCCGCTTTCGCTAGTGCATCAGCTGTTTCATTTAGCGTTATGCCTGTATGCCCCGGCACCCATACTAATCGCACCTGGGTTAAGGGATTCGGAACTAAGGAGTTGAATTCGACTAACGCTTTCGAATAACCGGATGTCGTGAGCACACTGCAGACTGACAAGGAGTCTGTTATTATTACAGTGGAATTCATTGATGCCAGCAGTTGTTGAAGGGCTAATACTACCGCTAAAAATTCGGCAATAACGATAGGTGTGTAATCTGGAATTCGGAGGGAAAAGGACCAGTCTACAACAGGGCAGAATCTGTAATTATAACAGCCTTTATTTTTCTCCTTCGTTTTCTCCGTTTCCCACGAAATCTGTCCTCCGTAGTACCGGACCATTACATGTATAAAGGCACCCGACAGTGGACCAGAGGGCGCGACGAAGCTCCTTTGGCCGCCTCAGCATTGTTGGTACCAACCGCCAGAGATACTAAAAAAAAATGGAACGCTCGCTGAACATAGTGACACGTTGAAGTGGCAGTGCCCTTTTTAGCACGTTTTAAAAGAACGCATCCTCGGCGCTTACATAATCAGCCGTGACCCCCTTGCTCACAACTAAAAAAGAAAATGATATGCATGCACAAGTTCGGTTTTGCTGCATCTTTTCGCTAGGCTCTGCATTGGGAGATTCGGTTTTGCTGCGCCTACGCGCTATGCCGCGTGTTCTTGCGCTGCCATCAGATCTCGTAAACAGCATTGCCGGGTGCCTATAGAGATATTCACATCTATAATTCAAATTGAAAAATTGAAACAGGACATTAACAGTATGATATGCGGGCATAGAGCGATTCAATATAGTACCGGTTATCATCTCTTTGAAGGTCTAACGTATGTTGTCTCTGGAAATATTGCCTCAATTATGCTATGGATTTCAGTGATTCCCGATTGCCACGTGCTACATTGATTCCTGATGGGTGTAGGGACTCAAATTTGTGTATTAAATATGATTCCATGTACTTTCTCTCACGAGGAAACCGGAAATTGGTTTGTCGAATGTAAAGTTTTGCTTGGTCGGAATTTCGGTCCTGTTCGTTGAAGTGACCGGCTACTGCTTTTAGTAAATAGTGTTTTGTGTCTGCGTGGTGGCCGTTCAGTCTTACGAGAATCGGCTGACATATTTCGCCTGTAGATTTTTTTCTACAGGTGCCACACTCAAGACAATATATTAGGTTGTTTTAGGTGCAGGTGAAGCTAGATGTCACTTTGTGAATGTCATTAGATGCTGTGCTTTTTACGCTGGTAGCCAGCTGTATGTGTTTGCAGGTGAAGCATCTGAACCGGCCACAGGAACCAGACGTTGTCCTACTCTGTTTTAATTTTTGCGTGAACAAGCATGTCTTTAGTTTTAGCATTGCATCTGTAGGCGACTTTAAGTAGTTAGGGGAAGATTTTCTCAACTTTCTGGTTGGTGGTTAGAATTGGATAGTATCTTGTATGTTGTTTATGTTAGGGAGTGCATTAGAAAACTTGAAAGAAAATGAGTTGCTGTTGTTTTGCTTTTGGATTGTGGTGTGAGTGCTTCATTGCGGTCCAGTTTCAGTGCATTCCTATAGGCTTTGTAAATGTATGTGCTAGGGTGCTTTTTGTTTGATTGTGTTGCTCTTAGGGCGGTAAGTGGGTTTACGTAGTCTTCGTTTCCACGCATATGTGGCTTCACTTGTTGACTGACCCTTGAAAATGCCCTATTTACAGTGTCTTGGGTGATGGCTTGTATATTCTAAGTATTGTTGCTTGTCAAATGGTTTTTTTAATGCAGATTTATCTTTACTACACCATTTTCAAGATGTATGGTCATGTCTACAAAGTTGATGCGCTGAGCTTCGGTATCAGAGGTGGACTTTATCGGCTTACGAAATAAGTTTAGGAATGAAGTGAATTTATCTAGATTTTTAAGCCCATGTCCCCGTATTATATATATGTCATCTATGTACCGGAAGCATGTGTGAGGTTTCTTTCCACAGTGGGACAGGAATTCGGTTTCCAGAATTCGCATGAATATATTTGCGTATATAGGAGGAAGTGGGGTACACGTGCTTGTTCCCTGTATTGCAAAGTAGTAGTTTTCCTCGGATTTCAACTAGTTAGGTGGCCTTAGTAATTCTAGTGGTGTTAAATATACTTTGGTACAATGTTGTGCGCTCTGTCAGGGTGAGGCTAGCTCAACTGAAGCGAAGCCCTCGGGGGGATAGCAATGTTGAGCTATCCTTATCCCGAGAGGGCACACGTATTTATTACATTTTCATATTTATTACACAAATTTAAGTCCCTACACAAATCAGGAATCATTGTAGCGCATAGCA